AGCACAGACCATGTAGGTTAGCTTTCAGGTACAGTGGGAAAAATGATTAATCGAAATCTCCTGGATAGTTGCATTAGTGTAGTCAATCAGATAAGTCACCTTGGAGAATGTTGTCCTTTTAAAGATTATGCTGATGCAGTAAGAAGTAGAAGTCACAAGAGGACAAAACTGTCATTCTATGTAATTATTATTAAAGATAAATAATCCTTACATTGTATATATCAGTCTTGCTTACCATGCTGATATCCCCATGCATTTGGATTACCATATGCATTCCCCATGCATTCTCAAACAGTATAGCCATAAGCCACAGTGACTGGGAATTCTAGAAATTGTAGTCCCAATATACTAGGCTGGGAAAGGGGGTGTGGCCCTGCTGTGGCCTTCATGCTCATCTGCCAGGCCTTCCTTTGCTGTTGACTTTGTCATGGATTGCTTGCCATGACCTTATAGGAGATTTTCTCTAGGCCATCTTTGTTCTTCCTATCTTTATCTTGATTGCCCCCACTCATTGTTTTCGCCATCTACTGACCTTTTCCCCTTCTCAGATCATCCCCCTAGCATTTCAATTTCCTCCTCACTGCAAGATCTCCTAATGGTAACCACAGTGATATTATTTCAGTACCTTCTCATTAATTTCTTTATGCCTCCTTTCCTTGTTCCTTCTTCCTTCAAGCCTCACCTTCCATCTATTGTTCTACCAGATCTTAAGGTTCTGTTTATAATTGGCAACTTTCTTTAATCAGTAAACTTCTACGTTCTCTGCCCTTTAACTTCCCCATCTTCCAGGACCTTTTCCAGCCTACCTTGGAAAGTTAGTTCAGATTAACTAATTAGCACTTCTGTCATAGTGACTTTTTATCTGAGGCAGAGTAATAGCTTCTTTTCTTCACAGAGGTTGCATTGCAAGTATCCTGACAGTTTTGTTTCTGGAAATTAATATATTCATAAACATACTGGTGCCCTTTCTTCATGTTAAAAATTTCACAGCTGAAAAAACTATAAGAAAAAACTCATTTACAAATTGAACATGTGAAATGTGTATATTTGTACAAAATTAATTCGTACAAAATTAAGGAAGTTGATGGGAACCTTCAGAACAGAAACAATTTATAGGTCCTAAGATTGCTGAGCGAAGGTCCTTTTGGTGTTTTCACAAACAGAGCCTGCAAATAAAACTGAACCTGATCCTGTGAACTTGCCTTATGAGTAGGACTAACAGAACCGGGCTGCCACAATCTGGAAGACCACTCGGTAGCAGCAGAGAGATAACGAAACTCTTTGCAACCCTGTAATGGATTTTGAGATGTGTGCAGTTCAGATTTAGTGGCCCCACCACTGGAGATCCCGTGTCCGAAATTCAATGGTTTGTGGTTTGTGCATAATTTGATGGGCTTCCTTTCTTACATAAATTAAGGCAGAAGATATCCTCTGGGCAGATAGTTGATGGTTAATTGTAAGTAACATTCACTTTCCTATTTAATGTAGATTTATTCTGTTTGCAAAGCAAAGGCTGGGAATTTTTTCTTTATAGTTAACTGGAAATAATGCACAATTAGGTAATGCGTTAAGAGTGCAGTCCTAAGTATGTTCCTTTGCTTCTGGACCTTCTTGTATTCATTGGCTTATGGAAATTTAGTTTTTTCTGGTTTCTTTCAAAAATAATTCTTTACAGTGTTGGTTGTACAAGACAAAACTATTATGTAAGACTGAAGAAGTCATATAAACTCTGGGAACAATTTTGCCTTAGTGGTTTTTTCCTTCTTTATGTATGCATCTTAGTTACTTTTTAAGGGTAGTTTTCTCAAAGCAGCTTCCAGTATAAAACAGGAACTTTGATATCAGCGTAACAAGTGTATAGAATCATAAAACAATATGAAACAAGTGAGTTAGTTAAATGTCCAAATTGATTTGAAAAAATAGTAAAGTAATATTATACTATAAAGTAGAACATATAAGTTGATATTGACATGGGAGTTCAGTCTTATATTGCAAACTCGTAATATTAATTCCTTATTTGTAATTTTGTTTTGAAAACAAGAACAGGAATCCAATTAAGTTATTGGGGCACATTTCACTACTTCAATTTTTAAAAATAATCTTTTGTTGGTTTCTGTTTCTTTGGTTAACATTTTTTGGTTTATATATCTTTTTTAATGTTTAATAAAAATATATCAGGAAAAAGAAGGAAAAAAACAGTTTGTGGTCTAATCTACTCAAACAATGTTTGTATTAGAGGATTATTATTATTATTAATTATAATAATAATTTTATTATTAAATCAAATCCAATTATTTTTCTACTGAAGTCATTTTGAAATATCTTTATTTCCAGCTAGAATTTTAAAAAGCATCCTTTGAACTATAATACATGAACTATATTTTTTAAAAAGTTGTAATAAAAGGCTAAAATCTTAAACTGATGATGGTAAAAGCATCATCAACATTTATATTGCAGCAAATGGATTTGCCGAGGTCTGAACACACATCATATTTGACAAGCATGGGATTTTACTACTGAGTCAGATTGCCAGCCCAGTTGGGTTTCTTCTTATCCCAAATTGTGTTGTGCTACAGAAAATAGCTCTAGCAAAGCAACATCACCACATTATTTGCTAATGCATACCTTTCTTCCATTTTACTTATTTATTCAATGGTTTCCTCTACCTCCCTATTCTGATAAATATTCATGGCAGTTGACAAAATTTAGAAAACAAAAATAGAATATAAAAAATTAAAAACACAATGAAAACTAATGATAACATTCATTCTAAATGTCTTTAATAACTAAAATCCTGGATAAAAAGATGTGCCTTTACAGGTTTTCTAATCATTTCGTGGGAGCCAAATACAGTGATAAGTTGAGCCAAATCAAGCAGAACTGAAACAACATAGGCAAGAATTCCAAACACCTATGATAAGAGAAAGTTAGGAAATATAACTAAAAAAAAAAAGTGGTAGTGTCTGCTGTCATTCAAGAACAAGTTTGTAGAAACAAAGTCCAAACCCTCTTGTATTTCATTTTCCTTCCTGCCTTATGGGAGGAACTGCTTGTCCCCTGCTTTTGCATATACTGGTCTGTTTCCATCTATCCTTTATTTTTGCAGCGGTCATATTTGTTTTTCACTGTGTGAGAACTAACTCTCACACCCAGCTTTGAGTGTGTTCCATTGCCCAGAAACAGCTCTAGAGAGGGCCTTTTA